GTTCGATGAACAATGTGTTTGAAGTTTCGCTTTCAGAATTTGAGTGACAATGCATGTTTGGTTGACAATTTGTCGACAATTCCTTTGACCGCAGCCGCTTTCAAGCTTACAAGCTCAGACAATCGAGATCGACTGTCACAAGGACAACTTGAAGGGCATCAATGGCTGTGGAGATGACAATTCCAGACTACCACAACTGGCGTCGACTTCCCACACACAAACTCGACAATTTCCCTGTGGGAGGAGGGGGGCGAGCAGTCCTATACAATGAGGACAATATGGAAAAGTCAGAAGATGAAGAAGAGGAGAAAGGGTCAAGGCGTCCCAGACAATCTCCAGAAGACAACATGGAGGACACGCAGGGCTAGAACAAGAGTCCGACAATCTGCAGATCTCCGGCAGTGACAATGCCCACGTGCACTACGAGCACAACGACGAGAGAAGGCAACAATGCTGGAGAGACAAGAGGCAGAGAACAGCTGTACAGACTTGCTGACAATGTTTGAACTGCTGTATGTACAATAATGCTTCTTTCAATTTCAACAATTTTTGTAGAGATGGTGTGATTCAACAATGAATCAAACCAAGGGACGGTGTCAAGATACAAACTTTTGCACAATAGCATACTTGCTCCATCGTAGTGTTCACGTACAATTGCCTGGTGCTTTACAATGCACCCTGGATCAAAGGCCTTGAGCCTAGCCTAGCTCAGCCTAGGACAATTGGCAAGAGGAAAACAATACAGTGACGTGCGCAAACAAACGGCAAAGAAACAGCTGCTGAATTTTACAAGGGAGAGAGAGGGAGAGCGAGGGAGAGCGAGGGAGGGAGAGAGAGGGAGAGAGAGCGAGAGAGAGGGAGAGAGAGGGAGAGAGAGGGAGAGAGGAGTGGCTCAAGATTTGGGCTCAAGCTGGGACCGTGACGCCTTTGGGACCACGGCAGACCCAGGACACCCAGCAGGTCACCCACAACTTTGCTCGTGATAGAGACTGCAGAGACCTTCTTCCTTGCAGTGCGCGATGGTGACACCTTCTTGGGAGGGGTGGACTTACCCCAGGAGACGAAGGCAACGAGCCTACTTATGTTGCACTGGATGTTCTGCCTCGTGGATCTGGACGGATAGAATCAATGAGGCCAGATGGAAGTGTGACAAATGCAACACTGCTTGGCCGCAGTGGGACTGGAATCCCGGGAAGATGACGTGATCGCACAGTCGTTGTTGATCGACCACCAGGCCTTGGAACTAAGCCCAAACAAGGAGTCAGTGCACTTGAGAGAACACATTGAAGAAGGCTTGGGGGACCATGCCAAAGGAGTCGCAAGAGGCATTGAAAGGTGTAGGCATTGACTACACACCAGAGCCGGAATGTCCACCCTTGGAAGAGATCCTGAAAGCCCACCTGGAGTCACCTATGGAAGTGAAGGAAGCAGTGCTTGGACTGATCAAGCCAGCGCCGTCAGCCACCATTGATGTCACGGGCCAGCTCAAAGCCACAGTTGGGGAGCTGAGACAACTGGCTACCAAGAAGCAATCATTGCAGGGAAAGGTGGATCAGGCCAAGGATCACTACAACATGTTGCTAGATGAGCTCAAGGCTGTGCAAGAGGCCATTGACAAAGAAAAAAGCTTGGTGATCAATCGGAGGCCTACGCGCAGCAACTGAAGGCTGAAGCGGTACCCCTGACACCAGCTGGGGACCATGTCCTGGACAGCGATGCCACGGAGCATGTCTTGAAGGCTCTGGGGCAAGCGGGCATCATCTTCAACTCCGACCAACAGACAGAGTTGGAGAGAAACCATGGCTAAGAGCCGCAAGACTGATGAAAATCAGTTGACCGGGTAACAACTGCTGGACCCTTGGTGATGGAAAAGAATGTGGCAGTGGGGATAGCTTTTCTGCAGTCATAAGGTCCTGGAGGAAGCAATATGAGTCCAATAGACTGGAATCTTGGGGAGGATCAAACGCTTGGGAATGTTTGAATGTTTGGCGGGTTGGCGCGTCACCTCACCTTGCTTGGGGACATGAGTAAAGTGCAGATGAGTGGGTGCAATCTTTGAAAGCTGATGTGTGCATTGGTCATGACGATCCTGTGCATGTTGTCCATCAAGGCTTGCAGCCGTATGTGAACGTTGGGGATTATCATGACTATCCTTTTCCACGAGTGCAAGACAGTGGATCTTTTGGCATCGACATGGGGGTTGATCATGATTTGTCAGTTTTGTTTCAAGCACGGGTCGGCATGAGCCATGCCCATGCGGATCATGTGGAAGGTGGTGGAAGCGCAGATGAGAATGTGGACATCACCCAGCCTGAACTCTACGCTGCAATGACAGCGGAGAATAGCTCAGACACTGGGGGATGGCAGATGTACGAACAGGAGAGCAACCTTGGTCAGGAAGTGGGAGGGGCACTGCCCTTGAGGAGCACGGAGCAGCTAGGGCAACCTAGACTTGCTGACTGCGGGACCCCACCCCTTCTGACGACCATGGATCAACAGAGCATGCCTGATGATGGCGTGACCAGATGTGCCTTCCTGGGTGGAGGCAAGACCGACGATGATGACTACTTCATCTTGGAAGATGATGAAAGAACAAACGCTGAGATCACCGCGCCTGGTCACCTGCAAGATAGACTCATAGCGTTGCAGGGCAAAGCTTTGGATGCTATTCAGGCCTTGCCAGCCAAATGCAGGGAGGATCAGGACTATGGGATGGTTGAAACCAGAGTCTGGGGCTTGCAAGCCTTGAAGCACATCCTACGAATGCGGCTGGCACTCCAAGGTAGCATCCAGCTCACGAGACCGATCACGCCGGTGATTGACATGCCCCAGACCAATGAATTGCTGGCAGCTAATCTGACTTTGACCATCCGAAACAAAGGAAATCGATGCTTTGCCAACTCGGTCCTGAGAAGGTGGTGCTGGCTGGGCGCGCATCATGATAACCCAGCAGAGTTCTGGGGGCCTTCAAGGAACCTGTGCCTTCAGCTCTTGCAGCAGGATGATATCCCTGACATCTTTTGGGCCTCTGAGTTACAACCAGTCATTGCTAAGCTGGATAACCCACAGGCGCAACATGATGCTTCTGAGTTCTTGGTGTTGCTGTGGGAGCTATGGGGTCAGACTGGCCTTCAAGGAAACTGGCACTCTTACTTTGGTGGCCGATGGTCGTATGCCGGAAGAAGCGGGGGATGAGGTTTGCTTTGAGCAGCTGCTGACTGACTGGGCCAATGAGGCCAATGGTCAATGCCTTGGGGCGGAAGTCCAACACATCGTATTCCACATTGGCCGCTATCACCTCTGTTCTAAGGCAAAGTCGTGGGTCAAGCGCCGCAATAAGGAACCTGCGCCGCCCACACCGGGCAAAGCTAGTGAAGCCAGAGCGTGGGTCTTTGGGTGCTGGTTGGTTCTACAAGCCCTTCTTGGACGCCATCAGATCAACATTTGCCATAGGGCGGGGTGGCAAGCAATGCAACAGGGAGCCAAAAGCGTTTGGTGGCGGACCTCTGGCGCAACCTGGAAGAGGCTGACTGGAGCCGATTGCGCACCCTTCATGTCCCACCAAAGCTGCTCAAAGGGGACAGTGGAGACCGCCGAGCTTGGATGCAGTTCAAAGAGGCCCAGCAATGTGCAGTGCAGAGAGCAGAACGAGAGGCCCCACATGAGCTGCTGCAGGTGATCCAGGCTTCAGATCAGTGGCGCAGTGAGGTCTATGCAGCTGCAGCGGAGAGAATTGAAGCGCTACTGCAGGACAAAGATCATTACATGCGTGACAAACTGACTAAAGTTGACCCGGAGTTCAAAGTCAAGGTTCATGCACCGAAAGGGCGCATCGAGATCGTGCAGAAGCTCACGCAACGCATGCCGGCGGAAGGGGTGAAAGGCCAGCGCCAATGGATGCACAAAGGGAGTGGAATCCAGTGCAGGGCATGTGGGATGAACATCAAAGCAAGCTCCACCCATAGCGAGATTTCCAAGAAAGATGGTTCCATTTGTGCTGGAACTCGCAGCAAAACATTGACCCAGCAAATGCAGGAACTTGTTGATACAAGTGCACAACTTCCTGAAAAAGTCCCAGGGCACCGAGGGGGCTTGCGTGCTCACAAATTCAGCTGCCAGAGGTGCTGGTGCAATTTGCCCAAGCGATGTGGCAAGGCGGCTCTCACGACTTTGACCGGTCTCGATTGTCAATTTGGACCGATCCATGAGGGCGAGTTGCAACTTCGAGCAAGGCTCCACACGAGCCACACCTTTTGGAGGCGCGGTGAGTGGGTGTCCTGTGAACGCTGCAACAGGAGTGCCGAACCTCGAGATGGCAAAGTTCTAAGCTGGATGGATGCAGAGTGCAGCAAGCAGGCAGGAGAGCAGCGTTTGTCCTTTGGAACGACGAGCTCGGGAAGCTGATCTTGATGATGAGGTTGGTAGAGATGGCCAGATTTCAAGGAGAATGAGCCTTGGTGTGTGCCTAGCGCCGCTTTTGACCGAGTGGTCGCGGCTTGGAGCTTGGCAGGAAAAGCGCCGAGAAAAAAAAAACAAAGGGCGAGAGGAGAGAGAGGGAGAGAGAGGGAGAGAGAGGGAGAGAGAGGG